TATATATATATATATATATATATATATATATATATAGACAATAGAACGCACGCTAACCAAGTGCACAGCAATTATTTAACAAAAACGCTTTCAACACAATTATATCTGTAAATTAAAATTACCAAAATAAAACAGCCTCACTAATTCAACAGTATGGAATAACCTTGAATTGAAAAACATGTTATAAACTTCTAATTAGATACTCTTCTGAATTATTAAGAAATACAAAAAAAACCCTGAAGGTACCATAAAAACAAATATATTTCGAAAACTAAAGCTCTAGAAGATGATCAAAAAACAGTACCACATAGAATTCGAAAACTTAAGCTACGTGCGTACCAACCCCAAAAAACAGCGTTAAAATTTAAACATCTATATACAACAATAACAATAACAACAACAACAACAGAAATGGAAGCTAGTTCGGCAAAGTAAGAGTAACAGAGAGGCCAGCAAGACAGTAACAAACAGAAAAAGACCCAATAAGCGACTAGTTTGTACAACCTAGATCTCTTCTCAAAGGCACACGTTAGGCAAAAAAATCAGTAACTGAAAAGAATAAAAAAATTTAATCTCGCTACTGCTGCTCTCTTCGTCTTTGACGCCTCAACACCGGATTCAAAATGATAGAACTTGTTCCTGGATGGGGTGCGCTTTCATCATTTTCTGGATTATAAGTAACATCCAGTTCAGCATCGCCGCTATCTGAGTCATCCAGAGCTCGCACTAAAACAAGGAGAACTGATCTGATAGTTGCCGTAGGCGACAAAACTACTAGTTTTATGGTATCGACAACAATAATAACAGTAATAACGGTAATGATAACGACAGCACATGATGACAGTTATAACAACAATAATACAAATAAAAAAGTAATGAAAAAACGTAAGCAGCACTTTTAAAAAAACATTTATCTCAAAAGTAAAAAGTAACGAACTCTTCCCAAACGGAAAAATTAAATAAAGAAAGTAGCTTGTATAAAAAGCAACACAACTTACGTATTTCCAGATCATGATTACTGATAAAGCCAGCAATATCCCCATCATCGCCGTCATCGTCTCGATTAGGAAATACAGCTTCATGATCACCGGCACTAGCTTCGGGTGCTTCACCATCTTCGTCATCATTCACTGATGACTCTTCATTTGTACTGCCCTTAAAAAAAATACTGCCTAGTTACAGTGTAAAAAAAGCTAAAGACCAAAACAGGTTCTAGCTATCTGAAAAACCTACTCTACTCGAACCTTCCTCCGAACTACCGTCTTCATCGCTTTGCGTGGTGTCACTTTCATCCAGGTTCAAATCTTCAATGGATGACGATGAAGCGGTCTCATCGGAATGACTGAAAGACGACCCTGCGTCGCTCGAAGAAGTGTCGTCATCATCATCGTCATTCGTCTCATCCCTCTCCTCCTTAATAAAAATTGGATAGTAAATTCAAGCAAAATCTGCATTTATATATACATATGACCTTCAAAAAACATTACAAACCGACTTCATCAAGATCTTCCACATCACGCTTTTTACCAACTTCATATAGACGGCACAAGTTTTCCTTCATACCATCTAAGCCATCAGACGTTATATGAGTTTCAACAATCGCCATATATTCATCATGATGATCTGCGCACAAATCAAACAAACTACGCTTAGCATCTATTGTGGCGATCACCTGCAACTTGCAACACACATGAAATTACTAACCGGAAAATTGTAAAGCAGAAAAAAATAAGCATCGTTTTAAAAACTCCCAATGTATTAGGAACTCACCACATTTCGCTTTTTTTTGAAACGTATAAATAGCATTTAAAATAATAACAATAAAATAATCGCTTGCATTACTAAATAAATTTAAAGATCGCTTAAAACCTATGGTTTGACTAACATGGTAATCAGTAGCATCGAAGGTCCTGAAAGATGCTGCGAGGGTTTCTGAAAACCTGCCATCCATTTCATCCTCATTTAGTTGCCGAGCTGCAAAAATATAAAAAAATACCAATCCCCATATTTAGCAAAAACGAATCTGTAATAAGAACTACAAAGAAATACCTCCATAAATAATGTTCCCACTAGCATTGAAAACAATTTTACATTCATCCAGCGCAGGGATACTGTGAAGAAGTTTGAATGTACGAACGTCCCACTAAACAAATTAAAATAAAAACATCTTATATTAACAAAAAAAACACAAATGTGCTGAGAAAATGCTGAACACAAGAGATTAAGGATGTTTATCACTAACAACTTCCGTATTTATAATGATTTCAGAGCCGTGTGGATGAAAAACGCCACTATTCAAGGTATTCAACTTGTCAAATTTATGGACAGGCCGCGAAGCACTTCTTATATCCCATAAAATGCCGTCGTTGAGGACCAGGTCATCTGTAGTATCAAAGGTGGCCCTTAAAATATCAATAAGTTTATGGGTTACACAACAATGTCAAAAATAATATTTCTCGAGCATATATCTTGACAGCTTAAAAATCCCTGAAATATAAAGACGCACGTTCTGTAAATAATAAGAAGTAAAAAAACTGAGTTACCTGTTCCGACTGTAATGGTTTGCGAGACACTCGTCGTACAGAGTAACAATAGCTCTACCACTTTCAACATCATACACCTGAAGAAAACATGGCAGTCTCTGTAGAAAAGATTTCCAACGGTAATGAAAAGTGCAAGAATCATACAAACAGTTAGAAGCAGTACAGAGCGGCAGACAAAAAAAGATAAGTAAGTAATAGAAAAATACCGTTGCTTTATTTCGCGCTGTCCCAACAATTTTGTCTTGTAACCTTTTACTAAACTCAACAAACGATTCCTCTCGAAAATTTAACATGTGCTCCTGAGTCTCCGTAATTCGCCACAAGGAAGAAAGCGGTTTTACAAAGCAGGACGAAGTCAAAAGCAAAGACCCATCCTAAACACCATCAGTGAACCGGTAACTTCAGAGGGTAAACGAAAAACACTAAAATTGGAAAAGTCGTAAAAATGATCAGTATAAAAACTAGATTAATCATAAAACTATAAATGATAGCATAATCCTTTTACCTTTGACTGCTCAACTGCGCTCAAAGCGCTATGATGACATTCCGTATTTGACTCCTCAATGCCTGTATAAATGTTGAACCAGTGTAGGGCACCCCCGTATGTACCAAGCAATATATGTTCATCGTCAACCTACAGTAAAACTTTAGCGAATGAAGAACTCACGGGTTAAAACAAAATTGTCAAAAAAAAAAAGCTCTCGTAGGACTTCCAGTTTCATTTTCCTCTCTACGTTTATAACCTGCAATTCATTAAAGAAACTAAAAATTATAAGAAAGTATTATAAAAAATTATATAGCATAAAAAAACTATGATGGGCCATGTTTCAACCTTCGAACTAAATGACAAATCACCTGAAAATGACTAATTCCCAAATAGACAAATTCCTAGACAATTATTAATTTCTTGAAACAAAGAAAAACCAACAGAGAAGCTACAGCAGGTAAACGTCTCCTGATTTTCTGTAAATGTTCTAGTCGGTCTTAAGCGACTGAAGGCGAACCGATTGTCCAGAACAAAACCCTCGTGTTTTCGAACGAACGGTTGCAGCTAGAAAAAAATTAAACTTGAATCAAGCTAAAGAATACAATTTGTATGAAAGAATAGGGTATCAATTGTAAAACTAGGTGTTCAAGACCCTATGTATTCCTTGGAGCAAAAATTTTAAAAAAATGACGGATAGTACCGGCCGATTGAATAGCCTAGTTGTCAAATTACGAGATACCAGTCTCTTCCTTCCAGGGTCTGGGCAATGGTGTGAACTACAATAAAATTAAGACGTTTAGAAAGAAGACCTCGAAATACAAGCTTAACAAAAAAACCGGAAAGCTTACAAGAAGAGAGAAAACGGCGGGCAAGTTGTGATCGGATTTTGACATGCTGCATGCTGCTTTCTGAAAAACGTAGGTTGAGAAAATAATAGCCAATCTGCCTAGTTCCTTGAAAATATTAAAGATACTCCTTAATCAACTAATACGAAAATACATCAAATAAAAGACCGTTTCACAGACCTGTCCTAAAAATCCAAAGCACAGGACAAGAAATTCTATTTCAGTCTTTGAAAATTTTAGAAGTCATCCGTAGTCTGTAGACGAAACAAAAGCTACCAACAAAAAAGAAAAAAAAAACCAAGCTCTTGAAGTGGTACACAAAGATTATAAAAAACGGTTCACATATCAAGAAAAGTCATTAAATCAATAAGAACGCAAATTAACGCACCAGCGAATTAATTAACCATTCGTTTAATAACAATTAAAAAACATTACAGTCGTCATCACTGCATTCGTAAAATTTAGTGTTTAGCCAACTTTTGAGCCCTTCAACTTGCTTAGCTATACTCAGCAGCAGTGAAACCAAAAAAAGCTACACTATGAGAACGCTCCTCAGACTACCAGCCATGCGTTCAACAATCAGGCCTTGAAACGCAGGAAAGACTAACTAGAGCTTGAATAGAAACATGATTTGCACATAAAAAAAGAACCGCATATAAAAAGAAAAAAAAACATTTAGAAGTTAAAAATCAGAACGTGAATAAAAATCTTATTTTTCATTGCTTCCATAAATTCAATTTGGTCCGCACTTGGTCCCCCTTCCCTTCTCGAAAAAAAAAAAAAACATCAGAGTCATTTGTAAGACAAATCACCCTTACTGGTGTCCAATAATGAGTGTTTCTTAAAAATTCTTATTATTGCTTCAAAACCTATAAAAAACTGCTAAACAGACTATGACACCTTAAATAACCTATCACAGATTCAAAGTCGTTCAACAAAAAAACTAATTTTAATTCTGATTTCATTATTTCAAGTCATTAACTAATGTACAGTACTAATCTAAAAGAAAACAAACAAAGCTTCTCTAAATAATGACACAAAACCACTTAAAGTGAACTCGTTTAAAAAAAAAAAATACCTGAAGTACTCAACAATGATTTCATCAAGGTTTTTGTACGGCATCAAGGGAGCTTTGGCTGCATGTTCTCGATGACCCCACACAGGGTTTCCTGTGTTAACAGTTTTAAAATGCAGGCGTTTAGAAAAAACACGTCCTCCAAATAAGTTGGCTTCGGCAACACCGCTGTGCTCTACAAAACCTCCACAAAATGTCGTCTATCAACATATTATAAAGTATGTTCACTTTTTGCAAAATAAACATGATAGACCTCTTTGTTCTTAGCTCATCCAGTTTAGAATTTTGAAATTATATATATATATATATATATATATATATATATATATTACGTATATATATATATATATATATATATATATATATATATATTGGTATATACTCACATACATATACCCTAAAATTAAACAGCACCAAATTGTTGCCGACCACGCAAAAACCAAAGCTTTGAAAAAAACATACTTTGATGAAAGCTTTTGAGCTGCTTTTTCGAAAAATCCGAAGTAAAGCTTTCTTGTGACGTTCGTGAAGAGGAACAGGGCGTCTTACACACCGATTCTAGGGAAGAAGTAGCCAAATTTCTAAAAGACATATTAATAAATCGATTATAGCAAAAAATGCAACAATTCTCATTTATATATCGAGCAATAAAGCTAAGTTTCTAAAACTATAATAATGAAAAAAACATAGATCGAAACATACTCAATTGACTCAGAACAGTTAGAAGGCGTAAGACCTGCAGCAAGAAATGAGGAATGAGAACTGCTGTCCAGTTTCAAGCTCCTGCTGTGATTGCACTCGTCGAATGAGTGGGGCAGATATTTAGGCTGTGTAAAGAGATGGTAGGTTCTTTCCGGTAAAAACTTTAAAGGCGTCACCAAAAACAAGCAGAAAAATTAACTTTACTTGAGTAACACATAAAAAAATTTTCACTCACCAATGGTAAATTTATTACAAGATTCTTGGCAACACGACTAGCAGGAACATTTGGCAAATCAGCCTCAGTCCGCAATTCAGCAGCCGTTTTCGTTAAACCACACTTTATCAGGTGTAAATGAATAAGTTGAAGAAGCTCTTTTTCATTAAATACAATCTTTGTCTGATTAACTATAAACTGTCTCCATAATTTTTCCTAAAAAATATTTGTAGCAACAAAAAAAAAAAAAGAAAAAAGAAACTATTAAATAATGAGAAACATACTTGCGTACTGTCCTTAGGAAAGTCATATACAGGCTTCTGAGTAACTTTCTCTATAAGCAAACGAGCCTGTTCACAAAAAAGATTGTGCTCGACACGCTTTTCTTGAAGGATTGGCTCACGCAACAAACCTGTACGAAATAACTTAAGAAATTAAGCTCTGCTAAAACAGAAAATCAAAATGAAAGTTCTAATACAAAAAAATTAATTTCCTACCATGGAGCTCGTTATTGGCTATTAAAGGCATCTTGCTTAAAACTTGTCTGATACTTTCTGATCTTGCGAGTCCATTGAGTGCTCGGCATGCAATTGCACGAAGTGCGTCTGCAGATGTGATCGGGGTCTTAATTTTTAAGAGGTTCTTCAAAACCTGAAAATATGAACAAGCTCTGAGAAATCCGCAAATTTTGTAAACACAAGTTACCATAAGTTGCATTAACTGCACCACTACAACTATGAAAGCCAGCGTACCATAATGCCATTATTTCTGCGTACTGCTTCCCACATTTTTTCAAGCACATCCGCCGCGTCTAAATGTGTTTTCTTGAACTTTTTAAGCTTGCCTGCATTAGCAATCACCATTGCTTTACTTCCCGAAGCAGTACTGCGTTCTGTAGAGCTTACAGAAACGTTTGAAATTGACCCCAATACTGTATCTTTAGCGGTAATAGCCAACCGACCACCAGCTATCTAAACAAAGAAAAAATCGTTTCAATTCCGCAGCCCAACGAAAAAAGCCTAAACAATAGCAGTCTTAGGAAGAAAATACCCTCTCCGTCGGGGCGCAGACGAAATTTATAATGACTTTCAGAGCTGCTGTTTGAAGTTCTAATTCCGGCATAATTTCGCCCTCACAAGTTTCCAATAGCAACCTTGAACAAAACAACCTCCACCTTTATAACAAGAACAAAAAAGGTAATGAAGAAAGTGGGAAGACAGAAATTCAATAAATGAAAATAACAAGTGAGTTACCCCACAGCTTCACAATTGATATTACGGTGGCTTTTAACAAAGCACTCACAAAGGTCTAGTTGTACGCGTGGTACAGTAGAGCACATCCAAATCACCTAAAATACAAATACTTTTGCTATTACAAATTCATTACTAATTGGCTCAAACTCTTGGGAATTTAGTTGTTCTCTAGCCTAAAACCCTAAAACAGCAAAAAAAACTAAGAATAAAAATAACAGAAACGAGAAATTCATGATCGAAAAACCACTGCCTTACATCTAAGGAGCTTTTGACAATTTCGTTTCTGATATTCATATTGGTCCAGTTGCCTGCCTCTCCAATAATAAAAAGGAGTTTTTCTATGATTCCTAAACGACGCATATCTTCGACAGGCTTCCATGTACTTGACATACTTATTGTATGTAACAATAACCAAACACAGTCTGCTAATGCTTCATCGTCCAATTTCATCGGCTATAAAAATGTATCAAAAAACAAATATCGCCTGGCAGAATTGATAAACCAAAAAATGACACGCACAGTATAAAAAGTAAAGAGACCGTAAACTTTTATCATAAAAAAGACCAACTCCCCCAAGTAAATGACAGTACTTACTCTGTTTGGCTGTGTCCCGTGGGGGAAGCAAGCAGGTATTTTCAAATTCGGTATAACTTGCAAGCGCGGTAAATAATGTTTCCTCAAGTAGTCCACTTTCATATAAACATGGGCTGCCATATAACTGAAAAGCCAATCACATTCATACTTCGAATGGAATTAGAACGAGAGTTGTATGAAGAAATAGAAAAGCACAATATAAAAAAGATTTTAAAAACAAAACCAAGAAATATGAAAATCGTTACCTCCTAAAAGCGACACAAGTGTGATTAACGGCTTGAAGACTAGTATACATATGCTCATCGGTTAAGATTTCATCTGGCTCTTCTTGCAAAAAAGTCAAAGTCGATATCTTAAAATAAAAATGATTCTGCATCTCTAAAGATCCTACAATTCCCAAAAGCAAATAATTACAAAACTTCGAAACACGATGCTGGCATACAACAAACGAAATACTTTTTCAATGGGCACCGAAATACTTCTAAACTAATGCACTGAAATCTTCAGCACAGAAACGGACCAGCACTTTTGTTTTCCATATATTCAATTTTAAACTTTCAAACGATAAAACTCTAAGTGAATCGGCAGTGTTCATAATTTACTGTTCAAGGCCACCTATTACAAAAACTTTTAAGACATTTTAACCTCACAAATAGACTTTGTCAAAAAGTTTTTGAAATGGAGTAAAACAAAATTTTCAACCCTTCTTTTAATGAAGCAGTAACTGTAATAAACAAACATAGTTAAGCAATCGCCTCAAGCCATCGTTTTCGTCAAAGCGCTCAATTATAGGACGAAACTGGAAAGAGTATATAAAAAACATAGAAGCTGCAGCACGCCCGCTTTCGTAGCTATGTTCTAACAGCCATAAAACGTAACTAAAAAACCGTTAATATCAATTTCAATTGAACAACGAAGATTCAAAAAAAAGTAACTGTCTGAACAACGTAGCCTATAATTTTCCCCTAACTAACACGACTTCGTTTCCAAAGTGTTTAAAAAACATTCAGCACTAACCCTACAATCGGAAATTTCCTCCACAACAAATGCAAATAAAACCTTAAAACTCACTCAACAACATGGGTCAAGACTTCCCCAGATGAAAGGCAAATTGACTCCATAGCATCACAGTTATAAGCAAGATAATACAAACACATGCCAACTACTACTGATGGAAGTGAAGTTCTCTTAACACTAATCAATAACTCAACACCACCGGAAGCAACGAAATCCAAAGCAACTTTCCTGTGTACCAATAAGGAACACAAATACTAAAAAGAAAACACTTGAACGAAAAATGAACCGGCTTTAAATTGTCAAAACAGTATGAAATCGTAATCAAATATACTAAAACGTTAAAATTATCCTTTACTTCATATTACACCTACTCGAAGAGTATCACACAGCAAACCAGGGTCTAAATTGTTTCCATTTCGAAGCACCTCTTTTATGAATACAATGGCGCGATGTTCGTATGCAAGTTTGAGAAGCTGAAACCGCATCCAGTTAGGAAATCAATAAAGATTAAAAAAAACAGCTACAACAAAAAAATTCATTCAAGGTGCGTCATAAATGGAATAGAGCTTTAATTTGAGACAACACTGGTCTTCAAAAAGATTCGAACTCATTTATACAGAAAGAACATACATCTTGATATTCACCAGTAAACGTTAAATACTGGAGTATTAACCGTTGCTCCATAACAGAGGTCAAGGGATATACCCGATGTTCACCAACATAGTTTTTTTGCTGCATTGTCCACTGGCTATTACTGCGATTGTCAGCCAAAGCAAGAATAGAGCTTGAGTGAGAAACTGAAGACACCTGTAAAAACCCTACTGATAAATTTCTAAAAAAATGTAAATTAAAAACGCACAACAGCCATAAAGTGACTAACAGTCTGCTCTTTTCGAAGGCGTTTTGGAGGTGGACTACCAACAAGATCTTCTCGTCCGCCACCAGCATCAGGTAAACAATCCTTCTCGTTAAAAAGCTGGTCGACTTTTACTTTCAGTGGTGTACTGAAGTCCCCCCAAAAAAAGAAGAG